AAAGTACCGGGTTTTTTAAATTTAATTAGTTACTGAAAATTTTCCTAAGCTTTGTCCATACCTTATGTAGTGTGGTGAAATATGAAAGGAAAAAATCTATTGCTGGGGCTGGGATGCTGTGGGTGGTAAAGTGGTGCATCTTGAAGACTTCACCCACAGAAAACTGCCATCATCGTCAGTAGCAGCAGCATTATTGCGAAATACTCGTATGTAAGTTTTTCTGACTTACCTGTAGGTATATCTTAATGATAATCAGTCATGGATCAATAGGTTCACGGAAGGGAGGATACACAGACAGCAATGAGATCTCATAACCCTGTTTTAAAGGAAAAAAGCTGTGAAAAGCTGATCAAATATTCTTGGGCTATCAGCCATGTCTGATGATAGGGACAGAGATGTCCGTGCGACATCGGTGATACTTAACCAACCGACAAGGCTGAAAGCCAGAGCAGATTTGATCCACTGCAGCTGCCATGAAAGCTTGAAATCTTGTGTTTAATGTGAGGTTTACACTATAGATAAAAGGTAAAGTAGGGTAATTTTATTTCAGATGTACACAGTATTTGTTACATGCCACAGAAATTTCAAAATGTGACTACCCATACATGAATAGACAGCTTACAGCATTTGCTTTTTCTGAACTGCTATTAAAAAAACTGGCACTTTTGATATAATATCACTGTTAGAGACAGAAGTTATGGCTGCCATAGGTATTCTGTGTTCCATGTAGTGATGTGATACAATGGCAAGTGTGCTCTGTATGCAGGACACCACTGGAGGTTAAGCAACAAATATTTAAATACAGATTTCAATTAACATTATGAAATTCCCAGTTTCACAATGTGGGATATTTAATTGGGAAGTGTATGTCTTCTCCTGGTGACAGAGCTTGTACAAAGGCATGCTGAAAGTAACGGCTCCTGATTTCTTTTCCATAACAGCAATTTCATTGAAACAGAAATGGCTACCTTCCTTGAACTTTGTGCCCTATTCTATACAATTACGCCTCAAACAACCACTTCTGCAATCCAGACATAGCCATACAGGTATTCATCAACTAATGCACTAGTTGTGTTCCCAAAAGGAGTCACAGGGGGGTGCAATGGCATAAATGACATCAGGTAGGCCAAACTTTCTCTTCTCCCCTTGCATTCCTCCTTCACGTATGCACAGCATCTTAATCCCCCCTTCTTCTGACCTCTCTTGATGGGCCAGCGAGCAGTTCATACTAAAGCAAGTGTTACAGGTCTAAATTAATTGACTGCATTAAAATGACACAACATGATTCGAACTTGCATATACCAAGGAGTACCTGTACTTCTGTAAGTGTGGCATGACAGAACCACATTTTCGCCACTGTCTTATGGAGGCATTACTTTTCAGCCAACACTTCCAGGATGAATGCTGCTAATACCAGAGCCCACCATTGGACACATCATGATGCACAGTCGTATACCCAGTTTTGTCAAGATCTGGTTTAATTTCTTTCTTCCACCACTTTTGCTTTCCCAAGTGGATGCTTTCCAGCATCTTCCAACAAAAATATTGCACGTATTTGTGTTCAATTCTTTATTGGAGTCCGTCGTAACACAATAACATAAGTCAAGGTTAAAATTACCTAGCTACATGTTTCGGCTTCTAAAAGCCATAATCAAGCAAAACAGATTACTATATTCACACACTGTTAGTAATCATGTGTTTTACCTGATGATGGCTTAAAAAAGCCAAAACATGTGGCTAGGTAATTTGAACCTTGACTGTTATGTTGTTGTGTTACGACGGACTCCAGTAAAGACTTGTCTATAATAACACAACAGGATGCATGAAATGAAATGTATCTGTGTTCCCCCCATCTGAGCTACAAGTCCTTG